AGCTACAGAGACCAGCAACAGCAAGAACTCTTATACAAAAGATAAATATATGCAAATGTTGGCTATTGAGAGTCTATGGGATCTCTAAACCTTACATTTTATGGAACACAATACAATATAATATCTGTTACATATACCAAATACTCACCATTAAAATCCAGGGCTAAATATAAAAATATTTCAAATAAATTGATAGACCTGATAGACCTTGATTAGGAGGTTTTGACCTAGTCCCTGTTTCAGCTGTGTGACATTTCCTATAGATATGTAAACAACATTTAAGTGTACTTCATGTACAATAATTCTCAGTGGTTCAATAAATAAGCTTTGGCAGACTTCCCCCTGAATGGTGTCTATTGCGTGTGTGTGCGTGTGCATGTGTGACTGTGCAGGTGTACCTATCAAATGGAAGTGAGCACTTGATTAAATTGGGGTTTAATCTTTGCCTCTCTTCTTGTACTCACATGGCGTCTCTCCAGCTGAGCCCTTGATGGAATATTTGAACTCATAATAAAAGCTGTGTTCACTTTTCTGTGGTTAACCTCCGCCTGTGTCGGCCATGTTGACTTTTACAGTAAGAAAATATGGTCATGATGACATTTTGTAACTACATAATTTTTAATGTTATTAGACCTTTGAAATGTTTAGTATTTTGCATAATATTCCAACTATTTGTGAAGGTTAGTACTGCCATATGCAGGCTTTTTCTGGTGGGGTGTATTTAAGGTTAAGGAATACTTTATTGATCCCTTGTGAGGGAAATTCATTCTCTGCATTTGACCAATTCTTCAACCAGAGCCGCTGGGGCAACCTGTCAGGTGGAGTGAGATACTGCAGACGGTATAGTACTCGGGGACCCATCTCCAGATCCTGAGATAGACTTGGTCAGGACTACCTTAGCTGGAGTATTTTACCTATTGTGCATATTTTGGGTTGATGGGGGAAATTAGAGTGCCCAAAAGAAATCTGCCCAAACACAAGGAGAAAATAATTCTGTATAGAAAGACCTGAGTCATTTTTTTCTGTTTAGTTTAGTTCTTCTTAAGAAATACTTTCATTATGTTCAGGTCTATTTAGCCCTTGTTTAGACCATTGTTATTATAAAATTATACTAATAATAATATAAACATATGGAGGAGACACAAGAACTTGATATTATATTTTGTAGCAGCATGTGACCCTACCCCATCGTGGCACCAATGGTTGAGTCCAGTTAAGGAGTGGTTAAAAAGAAGCCATGAACTCCTTTAATTTATTAAATCTGCCCAGCTCACAAGGCCAGGTGACAAGGAGAGAACCATAAATATTAAAGAGGAGTTTGCTCTGCCACGCTCCCATATTAAATCATACAGAGAAGAATGTATGTGCCCTTATTAAAAGATAATGTCTCCTGGAACCATAAAAATGTATAATCCTCTCCTCTAGATCCCTCTCCACCACAGCGTCTTTCAGTTTGTCTTAAATTTCACTCTTTTCCTGTCCATCAATCTCCATTTTCCCCCGCGCTGCGTGTCCTCTCACTCCCCGCTGTAGCTCGGTGCTTTCTACAGAATACATTACAGCAGAACAGATGAAGTATACCGCCGTATGGCCTAGCAACTTTTCATGGGGCACATTTTAAAGGTTATGGGTAAAAGGTTTAGGTTTAAAATCATATGTTTCATAAATTTTGTAGATATGGAAAAAGTAAGGATTAAATAAACTTTCTGTTCACACTGTTCTACTGTGAGGAGAAGAGCTAAGATTCTAATAATATACAACAGCTGTATCTATTTTCACTGTGTTTATTTGGTCAAAACACTGTATGCTAATGAATAAGCATGAAACAGACCATGCGTAAGTTGATAAAACCATTGAATACTGTGGGTCCTAAGTACAAACTGTAGTAGTATTTAGTAAAATGTTTTATTTTGTGTGGAGAAAACATGACAGTATATGATATTAACTAGATATGAAGTAGTGTCAGTAGTGAAAAACACAAACAGACCTCTGTCAAGGCACTTGTCCAAACTTGTCATGGTTACCATATCCTGTAATGCCTCAACTTGTAATATGTATACATGTATATGTAGCATAAAGTTAGCTGTGTTTCCGTATTTGTGTTTGTGAGTATCAGAAAAAGTGCTGGTATTTCCGTAAAGTCGCACAAAGACAGCTAACATTTTTCTGGAAAATGTGGGGATTTGCTTCACACTCCCTCACACATAACCTTTAACACAAAACAGTCTCATATACCCAAGTGTACAGTGCATGGATGCCGGTAGACAGCTAGGACCTGCACTTGCTTTTGTGTTGTACCTGCCACAGTGAAGCCGCCATGATGGTGACAAGAGTGTCCTGGCGCATAGAGGTGAGGAGGGACACCCGTATATGTGTTAGTGCTCTGGTCTTTGCACCATTGACCAAGCAGAACTCCAGCATAGAGAGATGTGTGAGGAGCAGTGTGGCAGGAGGAGGCAGTCGGCTGTGAAGGCCTGCACACCCGGAGAAGCTGCAGTTGTTCAGTTTGGCCACATGGGCGGGCACCTAAAGAAAAGATTAGTAAAGCGAAACAGTCAATATGTGTGCTGTGATGGACTCCACTGTGCACTGGCTAGAAGCTGTTCAACTCCACTGGCTTCAGTTAACCTGTAATTATCCCTTAGAGTGTAAGTGTACTGTCCAGCGCGCGGTAAAAATGGGGACTCCTCTCGATATATGATGGACTTACAATGATGGTTTGTGTGAATGATATAAAGAATTTCATCTTGATGCGACAAGTGAGGTAGTCGCAGTGGAGCAAAGCTATTTACGATTGTATTCTGCCCTTGAGTAAATTGCTTTGTTTATAACACACTAAATCAACTTATTTTTTGTTTTACTTTTCTACTTAACTCAGTATATGGGTTTAATAGCATTGTCTATGCTGTTCCTAGTGCTTTTTTAGAGCAAATTTGAGTATATTTGGCTTTCTGGACTGTCAAAAGCCGAGTGTGTAAGTTTTCCAGTTGCCACTCAAGTACTACATGACATCACGCAGGACTGCCCTGATTAAAGCCAGTTGTTTCTCATTACAAACACCTGCAGGGGGTTGATTTTGAAGTGTGGACATCTGTCAGGCCAATCACACTGTTCTTATAGACTCAGACTCTGCCGCTTCTGCCACATCACTTTTAATTTAGTTACCAGCTCTAATTGAAATGTCGTGGGCAGAGTTTAAGTGTTTAGTCCCGCTTATTTAATCAGTTTTGGAACTACACTCTTTTTGTCTCTTTTTTATTTAATTAACGCATTTACGCACCTCATAATTTCATGACTGAGAATTTTCTTGTATCATGAATTGAAACTTCTGACATATATGTTGAATCTACACAAGCATTTTGCATATAATTTACCAACTGAATATGCCACTGTATATAGACCATTAAAATATCTGGTTTGACACTGGCTGGCTTATCTTGAAATGTCTATAGAGCAGACCCTCTCCGGCGCGTAGACATGTTCCCAAATTTACATAGATCAGGCGTATGCTAATGTTGACTGTCTCTGCCTGCTTTCCATCTGCGGTGCCACTGTGCTGTATTTGAGCCATCTCTCCCCTCCACACAAACACACAGAGAAAGACAGTGACAACCGCTGCGCCACGATAATGAGGAGCGCTAATTTCTCAGGTGTCATAAGGCTGATACATATGAATAATACAGGCTCTCCTCCGCTGCTGTCTCTGTCGACTTCTCCACATTCATCTCCCATGCCCCCTCTAGTGCCTTGTCCTTAGCCTTACCTTGACTGGCCTCAGAGGCAGACTTGTGAACACATGGAAATCATAGTTAGAAAAAGTTCTTTGATGGCTTTTGCATGAGCCTTGAACCAACTTGTCTTTCATGACTTGACAATTGTTTCCGCCGACACCTATAGGGGCAGTGGCAAAAACTTACTTCATTTTCTCAACTTTCGTGTCTTTCCTGAAAAAAAAAAAAATACAGATCTTTCTTTTTGTATTTTGTCTATGATGATTTATTTACTGTGTACGTCTCTTCACCGCTGCCCTGCTTTGCATGTTGGGGACTCCTGCAGGGACCAGTCTAAATTATTCAAAGTCTCTTTTTCCTCTTTTCATTTTCCTTTATTTAGCAGGTCTTCTGTCTGCCTCCCTTGTCTGCATTATATTCTACACAAGCTTCCGCTCTATAGGAGAGATAACGGCGGCTCAAAATGATCTTCAGGAATCAGCTCTCAGTTTCTGCTGTTGCGTTTTTGATGCACACTGATCAAGCAGAACATTATGACCATTATAGGTTATTGGGAATGTATTAAGCAACAAATAAACAAGATTGGCTTTTCTGTTGATGTCAGAGGTCAAATTGCTTCCACTGTGCATTTTGACAAAAGCAGATATAATTTTTAGGTTAAAACAAACTTTTATTTCTTCAGTACATGAGCAGATGCAAGTTTGATGTCCTCTGTCGGTGTTTTGTATTGTGCAAAAAAAAGGCATTGAGACTTTCGAGTATATCCAAGACCCATAGATTTAAACCTTCAAGCAAAAACAAATACACTGAAATAAAAGCCTATTTTTTTACCATCTTGGGTGTTATTATTACGCTGAAAAACACAGTAGAGTTTGCATTTTCACAAAATGTTTTCATATTTGGCTTAGAGGGGGGCCTACACCTGTTTGTTTTCATGGACATGTAAAGAAAGTAAAAAAAAAAAAAAAGTTAAAACCATATTTTGGTACATTCTGTTTCCATGGAATCATACAGGTGGTATGCCATCTTAAAAGTTACACAGTGTTGCTTTCAGTTACACTACAGACTAGACCTAGACTAAAGTTTGAAAAGCCCAACTAATGCATATTATATTGAAAGTTAGATTTAATAGAATACATCATTCTTTGCCGGTTGTAGTGTATTAAATATGATTTAACTTTTGAAGGTGGTCATAATGTTTTGCCTGACCTCTGTATTTAGTTGTTTGTTTTGTTTTGACACTTTCTTTTCTCTGTGTTTTCTCCTCAGACCCAAACGCAGTGGGGCAGCACGGCACGGACCATGCGCTGATCGGTGGAGTGGTGGCTGTAGTGGTCTTCGTCACCTTGTGTTTAATCATTGTCCTGGGGAGATATCTGGCCAGGCATAAAGGTACGACCGCAGTGATCTGGAGCTGTCTGTCTCAGAGCTCACGGACGCAGCAGAGCATGGCCTACTTCAGCTGTCCTCTGCTGCAAAGGACAAAAAGTACAGCCACTAGCACTGGCCAATAGGAGGACATTAAAGGTGTACTGTCATTTTTCCGGTACATCTCCTGCTTTTGCACCATAGAGATGTGATTGGTTTGCCTGCAACCGTTCACATTATGGCAATAAATCTAAACAGATTTGCCAACAGACCAAGTTACATATCAGATCTGTGGAGAGGGGAGCCTGCTCATAGTGAAATGCATGATTTGTAAGGTTTTGAGCAATAAAACACCTATAATTTAATAATGCTAAATAATGTTTATGTTGAAATAAGTTGAATGCCAAAATTCCAGGCAAAGCAATGCCACCCCCATGGAGACGAGCAGGTGACCCTCCACCAGAGTGTGCACAATGTGTCTAAAAACCCAAACTAATTAATATAAAACACATAATTAGCTATACCTTAGGAATATTCATCTTGTTTTCTTAGTTATAGTCTTATTTTTTAATCTATATCAGACTACATAGGTTCCGTAAATTAATACAGTTTAACAGCGTTAGAGGTTGAGGTAGTCCAGTCCCTAACTGCCACCAAGTTGGCCACATTCAGGCTCATAGCAAATAAAAATAATTAAAGAAGTAAATTTACTTAGTTTAAGGAGCTTTGAGCTTTTATTTGGTAATTTACTTTTGTTTTAGGACCTCAATATAAGAAGTGGTAAAACACTCTAAGTACTACAATAAACTAATAAAACAGCAGCCTTATCAAGAAGTGGTTAAGAAGTTGTGGGCGACTTGGCAAATATAGTCTAAACTTTTTATTCCAAATACAATACATTCAAATTCTGTAAACAGAGAAAAGGTTTTGTTGAAAAGCTCAAAGGTGTGGGTAACTACATCTGAAATAGCCTCAATAAAGCATGAAGAATGATTCAGACTTAAATAATACCCTAAAACCTAACCCCTTACTAAGCCTGAGTAAGGGGTTAAGTTACTAAGCCTGAGTAAGGGGTTAAGTTACTAAGCCTGAGTAAGGGGTTAAGTTACTAAGCTCATTATTAATAAGTGTTTAATACAGTGTTTGTTTTCCCTGAAGTCTTTATTAAGGTTCTAAATAGTGCAGCTATTACTAAGAGCTACTAAAGTTTGTACTATGAAGAACACTTTAAAGTAACAAAAAAAAAGTAGACTAAGAGTTGGAGGCGCGTGCCGCTGTGGGAGTCGCACTTATATCTAAACTGCCTCCACAGAGAAGACCCTACTGTAGGTGTGATGTGCTCTGATCTCCTCTGTCTGCAGTGCTCCTCTGCTGCCTGCTCATTTACATTTCCCGTCCCTCATCACAGCTTTATGAATAATGTAGCTTTACTGATGCCATCCCAAGATCCATGCTTTTCTTGCCTCTAGCAACTGTGCAACTTTATTTGTTTTCTTCTATGTACAAATGCTGTTTTTATGTATTTTTGCAGGAACATACTTGACAAACGAGGCCAAGGGAGCAGACGATGCGCCAGATGCTGACACGGCTATCATCAACGCCGAGGGCAACCATGCGCACGCAGAGGAAAAGAAAGAGTACTTCATTTAGACTGAAGGGGGCGCTGTCACGGCTCTCTCACATCATCCCCCACCTCTCTCTTCTCTGTCTCTCCATCGTTTGACCACTGCCTCCTCACCATGACGACCACAGACAAAGAAAACCCTTCCCACGTGCATATTGCCTTCGGTGTTGGCCATTTTGTCCACTATTTTGTTCTAGGCAGCTTGCAGTGGGAGTTGTCGCCTTCTCCGTATAGTCGACCATGACGGTTTTTCAAAATGGCCTCCTCTCTTCTACCCTCCCCCCTTTACACACAAGTATTCAGTTCACACATACGACCCACAAAGCGCATATCTCACATAAACACGGTGCCTAAAACTACCATTGAAATCTCGTCAATGCCTTCATGTATATTGTCTGTGGGTAGCTTCGAGAGGTGGCAAGTTCGAGTCCGCTCGGTTCATTTGCGCTTAGCTTTTGACAATTTTCGTTCTGATTTCAACAAAGATCTGTGCTGTTGTAACGCCTTATACTTGTCAATCATATTTTTAGATGCTCCACGACTTTACCCCCTTCTATCTCCTCTCTCGTTCTCGCTTTCTCCCACCAAATAGACTTGTAATTACAAATGCCCGTTGTAAGATACGAAGAAGGTTTTTTGTGTAACACTGTAGCAAGGTCTGTCAGATACGTGTATAATATGATTTTCAATAGGGTTAGGGGTACTCAAAAAACAATGGGTAGTGTGGTATCGTCTATAATACACACCAAAAATGTCAAGATGCTAGTTACAGTTAGCATTTTTTCATCCTATAACTCAAATGCTAAATCTGCTATGTACTTTTTGTCGGTATAGTGCTGCACTGTCCAGGCTGCAGGTTAGCAAAAAATATCACAAAAGCTTAAGGTAGTTTGTCATTGAGCTTTCGGGTGTACAGAAAGAGTCATTTCTCTACTGCTGTATAAATGGTATTGAAGTTAGTTTATTAGCTTTTCAATTTGTAATTTCACACACATTCAACGTCACTGAAATAGTTTTGGAGAACCCCCTGATTAGAGATTAGAGTTGTTTATTTTACTTTTTTGTATTCATTTTACATTTAGATACCTTTTGTGCGTACAATTTAAGGTCAAGGCAGCTTACCTGTATACTGTAGTCACGCGGGATCACATTCGTTTTATTTTTATTGGGTTTTAATCATCTGAAAAAATACAATGTAGTGTCAAGTCATAGTCCAAAGGGGGCACTATTTTCTGAAACATACTCATAACAAAAGAAGAAGCACAAAAAGGCGGAATGGTTGTCGGAAATCAGTTCACCACATTCTCCAGAGTCCAAATATAAACAGTTTTTATTGGGAATTTCAGCAAAAAGGTTTCTAATGTTATAATTTATTATTTTGAAACTCCCCTTCTGTATATTGTGTCTGCAAAAAAGTGATTCATTTGTGGAAAGTGCTGTTTGGAATCCTGTTAGAAATTTGTATATTTGCCAACCTCTTTTTAATTTCTCACTTCTAATTTGTTTTACTATAGGGCATGTATATAATGAGCTTCTCCCGTTCATTTTTATTTAAATTATTCAGGAGATGCAAACAGTGAAGGATATTTATAACAGTGACAGAGGCTATGTGTATATGGCATGCTTTTAGTGGGATTGAGTTGAAGGAAAATAAAAAAATAAGAAAAGCAATTTGCAGTTAAAGATTTTAAAACAAATTCTAAAAACATGGGATATAAATTTTCCAAAAAACACACTTAAAATCCTGTTTTTATCCTTTTATTTTGTCTCTACTCTATATTTTCATTGTGCATTACTTTACAGGAATCTGAGTTGATTTCTGAAATCCAAGACTTCACGGCACTAATCCACAAAGAGGGAGCAAATTATTACCAAGGGCAATAAAATAGCCCCACCTGTCTCCAATTCACTGGCCAATTTACAACATTATGCAAATGAGGTCAGCAAGTAAAAGGTCTTTCTCTGTATGTTAATTCAAGCTGGGAACCATAGATCGAAAATTGTAGTGTGTCACCATTCACTTTGTGTTCTGCTGCATATGACCTACGCAACCGGCAATTATCAGTGCTTTCACGAGTGCTACCAGTTTCAATATATAGCTTAGTACTGTGCAAAAGTTTTCGGCAGGCTTGTTAGAAAGGGCCTGAGGTTAAGAAAGGTGTACCCATGCCAGCAAAAGAAAGAAGACAAGTATAAACAAACAGCCATTATCATCTGTAGTCTCAAATACTGTAGATGGTTCAGGTAAAAAAAAAAAAAAAAATCTGCAAAGTTATTAAAATGAAACACTCGCCATTAGAAATCCAAATTGCTGTTAATTTGTTTAAATAAATGCGTACAAGGTATAACTTGGCTCGTCTCCATGGAAGCAGAGGTTGCACCAGGAGAAGAAAAATAGTTTTGGGAAATGGGAATCTTTCTATAAACCATGATCTTAGGCCAGCGGACAGTTTTTAAATGTTTGGTTGTGTGGGGTTGTATTTTAAGCACATATTACTAAAACTTTTGTACAGTATTGCTTTCATTGTGCTTCAGCCTGTCAATCACTTTGTACAACTTGCAAATGTCACACTCTGTATATAACTGTACCACTAAGATGTTCTGTTTTTATAGTTTATTTTCTATTCTTACTGTGTCTTAAAGCAGTGATGGTGTCAATCAAGTCTTTTGTTAATTTACATGTGTTGATGAAATTGATTTGAAGAATTAGAATTGTGTTATTATTAGGTTGGTTGAATTAGGAGCTGAACAGGTGCCATTTCCTGAATTATGCACTCTGACTAATTTGACAATTTCTTAGTAAAATGTGTGATTGATTTTGTTTTCTGTGCGTTTTATTTTTTAACAAAATCCACCTGTAAATATTTCTTTTGACATGGAAGTAATGAGCTAATTTCTTGCATATGGCTTTTTATAATAATTAGTCCAATTGGAATCCATTTTAATGTGTTGAGAGCCTGGCACATCCCGTCATGCACTATTTGGTAGATTCAACTGTAGCTCGCTTTGAGTTTATTTTTTTATTATTAGTTAATTTCTATATTGTGTTGAAACTAAGCTTTAAATCTGCTGCCTATCCAATACAAACACACAGATGTGAGGCCTCTAATTTCACACTGGTGGACAGATTGAAACAGCATTATCTCATTTCCACTGGGCATAGGTCCATGGTTTGATTTGAGTTTTTTAATATACTTTTTAAGCTTCATTTCCAGGCTCATAGCAAACATCTTTCTTTGAAAATAGGTGGAGGGCCAGCTGAGGTGATGTGTTTATGCAGATCAGGCAAAGTCCTGCAATAGAGGTTTCCATTATGCCATGAAATTGCCCAATTTCAAGAACAATTTTCATGTTGGCTGAGGGACGTGAAGACGGATACCAATTCACAAAATGTATGTGGATTGAATTCTTTAACCTGGAAATATTCATGGTAAATATAATTATGAAAATCAGTTGCATTTTTCCTGTGTTATTATTGTCTGCAACATTTTAGTTGAGACAAAGCATCAAAACAAACATGTCAGCGCTTTTAGGTTTGAAATCACATTGAGTTCTACCACAGATCAACAAAATGTTTCTAGTAATAATTGTATTTATTTTGACCAAGCACCACCAAACACAGTTAAAATTACATAAAGTATTGTCTGAAACACTGAATATCACATCAGTCAATGGTAAATTTGTTTTTGTACTCTCAAGAGCTGTGATTCATGCCAGCCTCTCTTGTGTGTATTATCTCTTTCCTCTTCGGAGACTGTTCTTTTGGCCTGTGCTTTAAGGTGGAAAGAGTTGTAAGCTGAAATAATTGATCATTATGAAAGCTCACCAAAACTCCACCTGCCCCAGCTGCACCTGTGCACACAAACACTGCGTATAGTTCACTCACACCAGTTTGAAATTACAGAGGCCCCAAGTTCCACCAAGGGGAGTATACAAGTAATGATCTATTTTGTTTTTATTTAAAGGTTTTCATTTGCCCTACTTTATTCACTGTACAGACTGGCTTCCTCCACAAAAATAATAAATTCTTACTCACTACAACTTGTAACACAATTGCTTCTAGATTTTTTTTTTTTATTTGATGAAATTGTTGTGTTTTGTTTTGCATCTCAGGAAAATCTTTCATTTAGAAATTTGTCTTATAAAAGGGGACTCGCTGGAGCACGTTTCACTGTGCTAGTCCTTAATGCTGACACCATGTATGTGTTGAGTTTTGGATTCTCACCAATGTTAATAAAACTATTCAGTGATTCTTCAGTAGCATGTTGCTTTTGATTTGCTCAAACGCACCACTATATGTAGGCATTTGAGATGGACAATTTGGTTATGGAAATAGTTCGGTAGTTTCAGTTTCTGCTACTTGTTTGTCTCCATGGAAATGTTGCTTTGTCTAGAATGTTCCACAGTACAGATTAAACCTGTCTATCATGAGGGAGGCAAGCAGGTTACAGCTCTATGTGACATTACAGTCCAGATCTGTGGAGATTCGCCTCTATTCAGAGAGAATCATAGTATTTTTGAGCAATAGAAACACCCAAAATGAATAAATGCTAGATGCCAGATGGATATGTTTAATGTCATACAATGGAACATTCCAGGGAAAGTAGTAACATCTCCATGGAGACAAACAGGTGACGGATCTTCTATCAGAAAAATTGCTCAGTGCAGCTTTTTATTTTCTTCATTTTGCTGAAGGTGCATATGCCATATTGTTTAAACATGTTATACCAAACAAGGGTTAAGTTAAGCGAGATCATTTCATGTTTCTAGGATACTTTAGACCAAGACTTCATTTCATGTATGAAATAAATAGTTGCTAAACCATTTGTACCTGTCCGGGTTTGAAGTCAAGCCTCTTACTGAGAATTAAGCAGAATTACTTTGCTCTCATATGCAGTCACACGTTTTAGCTGAGTTCAGTTTGGCATGTGGAGTATTTTCTTCTCTCTAATCCACTGCAAACAGTAGGTCTACGAGGCTGTTCTGAAATGAGACTTGGTAAATCAAGGCAAAAGTCATTGATGACAGAGTTTGGCCTCACTAACAGAATGGTTATCTGTCCACATAGCTGAATGAGTTTAGATGCTAACTGAATACAAATAAACTAATCAAAATAATAGATAACACTGATATGAATGTGGATGAAGTCATTACTTTTATAGGACTGGTTAACACTGGCCATCGAGTGAGGTGGTGCCAGGTTAAATTCCCGAAGCAGTAAAGTTTGCAAGTTTTCCGTGTCTGACTGTTTCCTCCAGGTTTTTCTTATCAACATAAAACATGCACTAATCCTGGGGTATTCCTGATCAAGTTACTGGCACAGGTTTGCAGAAGAAGACGGTCTGTCCACTGCTCTTAGAATTCTGGGTGTATTTATCTCCAGGGACTTTACACCAAAATTTTGCATTAAAGGTCCTATATTACAAGAAATTGACTCTTGTGAGCTTTAAGCCATGGTAGAATTCTGTTACCTCATTAAAAACATACATTCACACGTTTGAGTAACTCTGTCTACATCTCCATACATACACCCAAGCTCAAAATGCTCTGTTTCACCTTGTGATGTCATGAAGCTGTGATTTTTCAAGTTAACAGCTACCCTTTCCCTTTTTTTCAGTAGATATCGGGGATTCTATGGCTGAAATCAACTAAATGATTCTAGTGAAGGTGCATGGCGTCACAGTGGAGCACTTCCTGTATTACCACATGACATCACAAGGTGGACCAGAGGGATTTTGAGCGAACAACTGAGCCTTAATATGCAAGGTTTGTGAGTTAAGCGTGTGTGAATGAAACAAAACACAACTCCTGGTATGTTTTTGATGAGGAAACATTATAACATAGATTAGAAAATATATGGATCCTTTAACTACTATTTGTAACAGTGTTTGTGGTAAATATTATATATTGCTAATACTGACACTTTAAAACCTGATTTAATACTACAAAAGTGCTGTTGCTTATTTATATGAATCTGATCTTAACTATTGTGCAGTTTTGAGGTGTTGGTCCTTGTTAACATTATGGTTGCTAGGTAACAACTATGGAATAACCTCTTTGTTCATTCACTCGTAATATTTGTACTTTATTAAAAAATTGTACATTTGGTTTTACTGATAACATAAATAATCTGAAAACTGAAAACAATAGTCAGTTTTTCATCAAATACATAATGGTCCTTGGAGGTCTCTTGCTCTTATCTCCTCCTTCTTGACACGGAAATAAAGAAGACATCCACTCCCATAGACAGACAGGCAGTAGACGTGTCCAAGACTGACAGGTTTTCCCTTTGCAGATGGAGTCCAAGTGTGTAGGTCCAGTCATCGCTGCGGCAACCAGACAGTGGGGGAGAGGGGAGGGGAGGGGTCATTCAGGGTGAGGAGGTCCACACGCTGAGATTGACATGAGCATGTTTTTTTTTACCAAAGTCAGGGGAAACTTGGGGCAGACATGCAGTGTTCATACATTCAGTAAGACTGCGTGTCAGTTTAGGTCAAGAGTTGAACCCTCAACCTCTTTGCTGAGTGACAGAAGCGCTGCTCTGTCATTTTGAGATAGAATAATAAAAAGTGTTTGAAAATAGGTGTATCCACAGTCACTTTCTTGGTTGACTCTTGAGAGCTTTAAGGCATGTTATTATTTTGTTACCTCCTCAAAATTACACCGGGAGTCGTGTTTCATTCAAACATATTTGAGTAACCCTTTATTATTAGTCTGTCTACATCTTCAGACCTCAAAATACTCTGTTCCAGCTTGTGATGTCACGATGTGAAGTGAACGTTTTCAAGTTAACAGCTACCTTTTTACCTTTATTTCAGTAGAGATTGAATATCCCAGGGCTTAAATCATTTAAATCGTTCTAGTGAAGGTGTATGGAGTTTAAAAACACATTGGAGCACTTCCTGTATTCCCACATGACATCACAAGGTGGAGCAGTGTTTTCTGTCTGAGAGCATTTGAGAGAGCCTAAATATGACAGATTTGTGTGTCAAACATATGTAAATGTAAAAAAAACACAAGTACTGGTGTGTTTTTGATGAGAAAACAACATTATAACAAAGATCAGAAAATAGCGTGATATGTTCTCTTTAAACACAATAATAATTAGACAACATCTGTGATCAAAACTTAAATTATGAGAACTGAACTTGCTATAATCCTCATCATGTGAACAGTGGTGAGAATGTACGGCTTTGCATGGATTGTTAACAAGTGAAGTTCTCCGTACTTTTCAGAGCTCCTCCAGGGAAAAGCGTGGTGGAACTTTGCTGGAAAACTTTCTTGTATATTGTATGTGGTTTCATTAGAAAGCGCACAGAGAAAAGCGGGACAGATGGTAGAGACAGGTGGCTTGACAGGCAGCGATAGATTTGAAGCATGCGACACATAAATAGTGCGCAGCTTAGTCCACTGAGCTGTCACCAAACCAAAAACCTCCGCCGTCCGTGTACGTCTCCTCAGTACCTTGTCAACACGAGCGTCATGGCCAATCGCATTCTAAATCAAATGGTAAAGAGGATGTTAATGCCCCGTGAGGCTCAGAATATAGGTTTAACAGTCACTTGACAAATCCATCAAAGCAACACTCAAATACTGTAAATGGTTTCTGAGTAAAACACAGATACTGCTCAGCTGGGAGTGCAGGGAAGCCATCTTGGATGAAATGTGTAAGAGTGGTACTGAATCTGACCAGTATTTAAAATACACATAGTGAGATGCATCTTTCTGGTGAGATTGTGTTCAAATAAAGCTCAGATTAAAGTCTAACAGCAACAGAGTAACAGCAGTGCTTTCAGATTTACCAGTTATCTTGTTTATCCAGTTTTTGTTATTCTGTTTGATACATTAATATAATAGAATTTGTCTTAATATATGTGCCTACTTCATTTTACCCATTAAACTGAATATAAGCCCAGATATCTGCATTGTCCTTCCAGCTCCTCAGCTTTCCTGTTAATGTATGCCTCCTGATAAGCCCACACTATCTCTGTCCCTGTGTGCCCTGCTTTAACTTCTGCACAGAAAAAGAAATGAAAACTGTGCAAAGGGGAATGGCAATTAAAAAGGGACACAGATGGATGTGCCAAATAGAGAAAAACTGATACGACTCTATTTTTGAAGACCTCTGCAGAAAGTTTGAGCTCAAGATGAATTGTGCCCCCTCCACACACGCACACGCACGCACATACACACATACATACACGCACACGCACGCACAGTATCTCATTACGTGTCACCCTGCCATAGTCTCAACCTGCCCAGTGCTGTCAGTCTGCAGCTGTCTCTCAGGTGCTCCATATGCAAATCCCCTTTTATATCGTCTGAATTCACCGAGGCCACTTGGATCTTTCCAGTGCTGTTCTCCCTCCATCAATCCACATCTTCTTCACTACACCTGTCTCATTTTAATTTAGACGGATTTAAAGGGGATGATATAGTAAAAATATTTATGTGTGGGGTATGTTTGGAATAAGGTGCTTTTATCCCTGTGGCTTCCATGTTTATTTATGTATTCATTTTATGTTTTTGTTTAGTTTTGTTTTTTTACATTCACGGTTTTAAAATTTAGTGTTAAGATTTATCTAATCTGACATGGAAGGGTAAGAGCAAACAACTTACATCTCCACAAACCTGACTCTTACTTGGCCTAGAGGGAGGCCTCCTCCTGCTGCTTTTACTTTCAAAGAATCATGCAGTTGACTTTGCACCTCCAGAAAGTTACATACTGTACAACTGTACAGAAATAATAATCTAGGTGTATTTTGTAAATTTACTGGTGGAGGGTCTGCAACTTCTAGGGCAAGGGTGTCCAACCAGTAGCTCTCCACCCACTACCAAGTAGCTCGCCAAAGGGTTTCTGAATTATATATTGAACTACCATTGTAAATGTATCATTCTGATACATATTGTACATACATACATTCATAACTCTTCCCTATCTAAGGCTTTCCTACACTAAATTTTTTGTGACCACTAAAATTAGTAGCTCTTTGACATTTTTTTTTGTTTTTTTTGTAAAGGTAGCTGACAGGAAGGAACAGGTTAGAGACGCCTGCTAGGGTGATCTTACTGCTATCCATATGGAAAGTTACACCATATATAAGACTACAAGTTACAGGTCAGATTTGTGGAGAGGCAACTTCACTAATAGTAGGAATTCATGTTTTCAAGATATTTTTGAAGCACTGTGTAACAACTCAGGCAAAGCAATAACATCT